GTTGCTAACTACCGTTTGTGGCAGCATTGTTAAAAAAAATAATTATACTCAAATATACTCAAAAGCTTTGTTGAAAAGTTTGAGGGATTCGAACTGTATAATACGATTAGTCATATGTTTACTATTCATGTTGTAATAACCTAAATGATTCATCTGCCGTGCATTAATCCGATAAGTTATATCAGCTGGCAAGTCATGCACTATTTAATTGGCAATCGTGTTGTTACTCAAATGCCCTTTGGGCGCGAAGTCATAAAAAATTTATAATATTTCATTGAATAGTCCATACATTTATTCAGTTAAAAATTATTTAAAATATAAACAATAGCTTTAATTGTGTTTTGTTGAACGGTTATACTCTTAAGAAAAAACCACAATTAAAGATTTTAGAAGCACATCGGCTCTTGCAAAATACGACCTAGACACAAAAGAAAACGATATTACATATAATTAATATACACCAGGAAAAGCTAGATATATAATTACACTGAATATCTCAAGCTCGCAAGATGGAGTTATAATTGCTGAAAATGTTTTATATTTATATTATATATACTGTGGATTGGAAAAAAATATCGTATCACTAGTGCTTTTCTTTAAATTCGTGCATTAGTTAATTTATTTAATTTAATTTAATTAATTTACTTACTGGAGTTCTTAATTATTCCAGATTTATTATTTCCTAGGTAGTGTATATGCCGAAATACGTACAATTTGATATTGATATCTATTAGGTTTCTACGCGTTTTTTTTTAGATTTGGATTAGTATTTTAGAAATCCGACGCTGTAAACAATCGAAAAAGATATAAAGACGGGTCCGGACCTTAATATCCGTTATGAGGTTTCTTGGGTTTGGTGTATTTGTACCAAAATGAGAATTAATACAGCGCATATAAAATTTCAGAACTGCAAACATAGCCGTGCCTCATTTTTATAAACCGGTCATGATTACGCTGAAGAAGCTTCTGGTAACAACGAAGATAACATTAAGCATTTTTTGTGAAGCATTTCGATTATCATGTTACTATAATTAGCAGCGCATTTACAACGATATATTTGTTATTCTAAAGTCAGTATGATCTTTAGGATTTCTATGGAAAAACTACATATGTCTGCTCATCAATTACATGACGTAGATAGCACAAATAAAAAACTTTCAGCTTTTTAGATTGGGCAAACCGAAATTCCGTAAATTCTTTTCATATCGTTTTTATTGCTTTCGGTTGGTTAGTTTTAGTTAGTTTCGAAATGTACAACAGTGTCCCAACAAAATGCACCGGAATAGTTTGATCATCCAAAATTCTGTTTTTGTATGTATTGCTCTGTATCAAGCTGATCCGAGTCTTTAGTAATAAGCTTTTCAACCAACATTTTTGAAGTATGAAGTATGAAATACGTCTTTATTTGGTGATCGTTTAATGGTACAATAAAAAGGAGAGTTCTTTTGAAACTAAACAAAAAACAACCTATTTTTCGACTAAAACAACTTTGATGTTTGATCAAATCACTTGATTTTATTAGGAAAATGATTAAATACAGTCCACCTTATAAATTTGATGAAATCATCATTTCTGTCATATTTTTGCGACATATAGAAGAAAGTATCTTGTCTACAAAACATATACGTAGATGAGTATCGTCTTTCTCTTCTCTCTAATATAGGTTTATGTACCGGACCTTCAATTTATCTTGATAACATTTTAATTGGCTGTAAGTTTTTTGTTTTTAGAGATATCAAGGTAAACAAAAAACAAAATGTAGGGTTGGTAGCCAAGTTTTTTCCAAGTGACGTTTTAAATAAAACACTATCAATTTTCTGACATATAAGCCAATATCATATTTTTTCCGATTACAATGATGTAACACACTTTATATTTGTATATAATTTCAGCGTGCCGTGACTGACTGCAACAACAATAATTATTTACAAATTAAAATAGAACAAAAACATTGTCTTTCAATTAGTAACTTTTCCGGACTGTCTCTTAATTGATTGATTGCCTCTGAAATCCTTTGCCGAATTTCCACGACATTATTACAAGGAGTTCTGTGCATGTGTCCCCGAAAGAAAAAATCAATTAAAGTTAAGTCGGGGCTGTTGACTGGCCAATAGCCAACCGCTGGTATATTCCATGTTAAGAAAATTTTTATCTTGCAAAACATTGTGAGGAGGGGCACCGTCTTGCTTCCATATAATCAGCGCTAATATATTTAGTGATAAATCTTCTATATATTGTTCTACTTGGTGCTCTAAGAGTTGCAAATAATGATTTCCAAATTAACTTTTGATCTATAAATATCGGATCCAAAATATGTCCATCTATGGCACCGCGCCATTTATTAATTGATTTGTGTATTTGTCTAGGATTATTTAAGGACCAATATCGATTTTGTTTATTACAAAACATTCTTGTAGTGAACGAACTTTGATCAGTCCATAAAATGTTTTTAAAAAAATATATTATTCTCTCTATGTCTATTTAAAAAATCCAAACAAAACGGCATCCTCGTTTGACATTGCTCCGCACTTAGTTTTTGAGTTTTACGAAATTTAAATGCATTAAATTTATATTCTTTCAGAACTGAGTGGATTGATCTCCGAGAAATACCTGTCTCTTCATATACAGTAATAGAGGAAACTGACTCGGCGCTCTGGATAAATATACTGACGACGAGCAGCGGTTGCACTTTTATTATTCAGAAAGTATACTTCTAGCATATCACTCTTGACTTGGACAATAATTCAACCATCAAAGTTGTTTACTAATACGTAAATCACACATATTTTTATTTGTCAGTCAGGGCACTCTTTGCAATTATAAAAAATTCCTATTTTTGCCCATTTTGTCAAAAACGAGTGGACTAAAAAATAAAGTGCGTTACAACATTGTAATCGTAATAAGATATTCAATTAAACACATATATAATATACAGGGCGTTCCATTTAAAAAAATGATGTAGGCTTAGATATGCAAAAATTGATAGTGTTTTGTTTTATACGTCACTTGGCTACTCACCCTACATTTTATTTTTTTGTTTACCTTGATATCTACCAAAACAAAAAAGTTACAGACAATTAAAATGTTATCAAGATAAATTGAACGCACGGTACAACGTCCCCAGACTCTTTTAATTAAGATTTATTATTATTTTTTCCTATGTTGCACGTACCTGGAGATGCGGTAGCAGCATTTCACACCTTGAACGTTAGTGGTGATAAAGGATTTCCATTTTCAATGAGTTCCATGGATCAGCTCTCATTTTGAAATATTCTCTCAATCCCAATTGCCTGCTTGAAATCTCGATAGCAGCGTAAATTTATTTCTCGGAATGTTGATTTGTTTCCTCCAATCTCGCTGCACGTCGGCAATGTTTAATTTATTTATGAACACTTTAAGCGATGCCTTATTCACGAATCACCCCACACCTGACACCAAAGACTACATTTTTAGAACAAAAAAAAATACGGAACTATGCACACAGCACTAATAATTTATATAAAAGCATATTATTTATATAAGTCGAACCTGAGACACTTAAGTTCATTCTGAACTTTCCAGAGTTTTCGGTCCTAGACAGAGCCGGGCCGAGCCGATTCATCACAATATAATAAAAGAAGATTCTTGAATGGAACCTGGCTTTTTTTAAGATGCAAAAAATTGATGAGTGGTCGGCCATAAAACATTTTCGGAAAATTATGTTAACGTTGCTTACTGATTTTTATATATTTTTTTAACACTAGTAAATATTGTAAAAGACCCGGATCTTTAATATATTATATATGGATTTTGATCTTCCGGATCCTGTATTAATAATCGGCATCGGGTATAAACTACTGTAAATCCCGTACACACTGGAGGCAGTTAAGCTGAAGAAAAAAATGATTCTACTAAGAGAACTAAAGCACGACTCCATACAAATTGAAGAATTAAAAATTCATAACGTTACAGTCAGGCCAATAAGTGCTGGTATGACAATGACCAATGACAATAGTACACCAAGAAAGTATACACCAGGAAGCTACAGAAGTAATTTGAAATTTGAATTTGAAGTAAGCAAACTTTACTTTAACTAGCTAAAATTTATGGTAAGAGGAAAGCACCAAGTCCTTGCTATCACTTTCAAGAACATATATTATGAAAAATTTCAATGGTATCAGGGATTTCTGATAATACTGTGGTCATATAACAAATTTACCATAAATGGGCAAAAAAATATGCCAAAAAACTTGCGATTGTGAGAAAATCGGAGAAAAACTTATCAACTGTAATCGTTATATGGATATAACAATTGCTTTTTGAAGCAAATCTCGTATTACAACAGGTGATTGCATTTATACTTCCTTTTCGATTTAATGTTATTGCAACATTTATTCAAGTCCTACTCAAACGACAGATATGACGGGGAAGAAATTATTGTGGTCAATGTGCCTCTATTTATTTGCAATCCCAGTACCCTTCAATTCAGTTCAACATCTATCTTATGGCGATAGTTGATAACTGACTCTGTTGCTAATAGCTCAAATTGAAAATGAACTTCATTATAATATGATGGATATTATTATATCATAATATTATTACTACATGTTAAGGTGAATGGATGTTATAATAAGCAGATTTTTAGTTAATCAGATTAACAAAAATTTTCCAACTTTTGTCAATACTATCAGCCCCGAAACCAAAAACTATCTAGAAAGTTTGCCCTATACTGGGTGATTTAATTTTCCTGTCACAATATTAAATACATAATCGTAAAAGCAAAAATTATTGTTTCGTTGTCGATAAATTTAATTAAAAAAATTGTAATACCTTTGCAATAGCTCGTAATGATTTTTTTCATGTGTGCATATATGTGTGTGCGCGCTCGCATATATCGAGACAATTTGTAATTTCGGCTTATCGCAGATACGGTGTCCTGATAATCCCTTACGTAACAGAACTTTGTTATATTAGCATTGACGATAATGACAGCATAAAAATAAATTTGGTTAGGAATTCAGTCGATAGTAGGTTTGTGTGTCGACGGAGGAGCATCTTACCTTTTGCACTTGAAAAAATTCAGTTGATAATCGCAAAATGTCTGACAGTAGGCAAAAGTTTTCCGCCGCGAGCAAAATCGACGTTCCAAGTGAATACGAGTACGAAATGGACGATATTCTGAGCAAGTGGTCAAGAGAAATTGACGGTGTCTTCATTCCGAAGAAATTCACGTCGATTCAAGAGAAGATCACCCAATGGGATGTGAACGATGACGATATCTGGATATGTAGTTTCCCGAAAACAGGTAAGGGCCAAGAATTGCTCAAAGGTTTATCATAATTTCAGAAGCCTAATTTCGGATTTAACTTTAAAGTGACATTTTTCTTTTATAGTATTTTTAAAAAATCTAGTAATATGCATTATTTGTTTTTTTTTTTTTGGAGAATTAAAGATGAAGTCCTTTACGGACATTCTACAGCATCGCCTAGGCCCTTTGCTATCATAGTATACACACAAATATGTCATAATATTTTCTTTATATTGTTAAATATGTCGCTGGTTAAATATGCCAGTGTGTGTTTAATTTGTCCCTTCTTCAAATTGTTTTCAAAAATTGGTGTTATTCTATTTTGTTGCCTTTTGCCTGTAGTCAGTCAAAATTACTTCACATATATCGCAGTTAGGAGGAAGTTCAACCTCAAGAAGGTGCGTGTGGCTAAAGGTTTTGTGTCCTGTAGACAATATAAAAGCTCGTACTGCTTCCAGTCTACTTTGTTCTTCGTATTTTGTTGTTATATTTGGTATAATTTTTCGAAGCAGATGTTTTGCTAGTTTTCTGAACTGTTTTCTTCTTGTTACCAAGTTGTTTGCAATTACAATCTCGTCATCAGCTACCAGTTCCTTTGAGAGATTAACCTTAATTTTTTTGCTACTTTTCTTCGTAGGTATAGTGAGCGGCATTAATCCAGGCCCGCAGTAGATTCTCTGGATTGGTGTTGTTGGAAAAGCACATATATTTTAAACACGATAAGCTTTATTACGCAGATGAATATACGATGCTGACATAGTCAATTTTTGAAAAAATTAGGTCCTTGTATGTGTGCAGCAAACTTTTTTGATGTGTTCCCCATTTTGTGTCAAAATAATAGTTTCAGAATATTTAGTAATTGTTTACACTCTCTGGCGAGTTTTTTAATTTGTTATTGCCAGTTAAATCTGCTGTCAAAAACAAGTACTAAAAGTTTGCTGTAGCTGTAGGATACTGGATCATAATGACGTTGTATTAGTCAACCAAACTGTACACATTTCGGATTACTACATTAATAGGTGATTGTAGCACCTTTGTCAAATCTCCAACTTTATTATCATCCACATAGATACACTTTTTTTATTTCTGGACTTATACTTTACATTTATCATTTATTGCTATTGCAAATAGAGTACAGCTAAGTGTGGTGTGCAGTGCCATTCTCCAGTACACTGATACCAAGTGCCCTCGTTTTCTGAAAGCTTCCTGTATATGACGTTCAAGCAGTACTAGATCGTCGATCATTGCTGCTACTTGAAAAGAGACAAAGAAGATGTTTACTCTCTAGGTATCTTCGAAGTCACCAAGCAGTTTGCTCATGCAGCGGGCTAAGCTAATTGGTCGTAGACTGGAAGATTCTAATTTGTTTTTGTTTAATTTAGAGATGAGAACCACTATTGCTTCTTTCCAGGAGTTATGGTAGACGTTCCAGAGTTTAGTGTATACTTCTAGCCGCTATATTCAATTTTGCAGAATATTGTTGCAAACAGTGTTAGGGCTTTTGAAGTCTAGCTATGTTAAATTTGTCAAGATCATCATATTTGCACAAGGCGTAAATAGTTAATTCGTTTTCAGTGGTGTAGTCAGTTTTCTACCAGGCATTGCTAATTTTAAGAAGCAAAACAGAATTGCTTTTTGAAATGGTACGCCCTATATATTTTTCCTTCACTCTATCTGTTACATTGACTTTAGGTTATAAGAATATGTAGTTGTTTAGTTGTTTATATCTGTTTGTAAATCTAACTCCGTTACTTGTAATTAAAAAGGATTGGTAGTAATAGACGAATTTTTTATTCATATTAGGAAAAGTTTTCAGTATTCATAAGAGTGCCAACGGTTATGTAGAAACATGGCTGTTTAATAACATAATTCATTCATTTCATTCACGCTTTCAATTTAAGTTACATCAACGAATATATCAATATATCAAATTTAGCTTAAGTCCAATAACACACAAAATAGTTTGGCCCTAATATTGAGAGCAACGTATCTTCTGCCAATAAGTTTAGTTGTGACTTTAAGAATTTTATGAAGATCGTTGACGAAACTAATAAATAGCAGTGGCCCCAATATGCTTCAGATCACGCAAATAATTCTCAATAACAAATTTCGTTAACGAAATCTGGACTGATCCGAAAAAATACATCTATGTCCTTCGAAATACACACGAAGCTGCCGACACAGCACTACACCAAAAATGTTATCGGGTTATGTTAATAGGCCTCAATTTTTCCGACTTTTCAGGATTTGGTACATTAGGTATAGGCACACACATTATCGCATCTGATGGGACTTTAAGAGTTCGCCACATTTTCTTACTGTCGCCTTTCGTTTTAAAACACTCTCTTTTCCTTCCTAGTTTAAGTAACCACTCTGTTTCTTTTTTGCTTATCCATCATTCCAATTGTTTTCACTTCTTTTTTTTTTTATACGATTCGTATATTCTGTTTCACCCAAAATGACAGTTAAGGCTCTTACATGTGACTAGATGCACTATAAGATGAGATTGGTTAAAAACATGAAATTTTTTATTTTAGTAAATGGAGTGAATAAAAAATTCTGAGATTTTTAGTATGATACTGAGATCCCTGTTTTAATTTTTGATCATGATATGAAGGAGTTTGTGCATGTAGGAGTACTTAATTTGTTACAAAAAACATAAATGAATAGCATATATGACGGATATTAAAATGGAATAATACCAAGGCATAACACAACTTCGTTATTTATAAGACATAACAAACGTCTGTTCGCACATCAAAAAATGTGCGCAGAATTTTAAATGAGGCGCCAAGATTCGAGAAAACCAATAGGCTCTGACGTAGACACAGGGGCAAATCAGCAACCAAAATTGATACACCAGATTTTACTCAAATATATGATTTCACAAAGATTTCACCGGTTTCAAATTTTAAAGATTCTACAAAAATTATATTTTTAAAATGTGTTTTCAAAATTTTGTTTCTTAATTTCATCTCATTGTTTAACACATTTAGTTAGCAATTCTTAATTTACGGTCGATAAGAAATTACAATTAAACCCAAACAGAAAAAAAAACAGCGAAAATATTTTTTATGTTCTTATTCCTTATTTCTCACAACCTTAAAAATGCCAAGTGATTTTGTTAATTTCAGTAAATGAGGGTGGAATGAATTTTTAATCAGTTAATCGTTAATTAAGTGTACACTCCATAAAATACAAATGGAACATGTCAAATAGTCTCGCAAATAGTTATTTAATCATATATTGGATTTTTACTAAGCTTTAAACTTTGAGAAGTTTGAAGTAAATCTTCGCTCAGAATTCAACATTAAGAAGATTGTTAGCTTGTTGATCCTTTGGGTCAAATTCGAGGTGGACCTCTGTATCAGCAGCAAATGACACGCTGCTACCGACTCCCAGCTATGATTTAGAGTTACATGTAGGCTCAGTACCGTCCAACTAAAATGGACATTAAATAATGGTTAGTTATTCCATAGGGTGACTTAATTATACGAATTGTCCAATCTTCCAAATGGGTTTATTATTTGATGTGAAACGAGCAGAATCCAACTAACAATCGAATAGTCTGCTGAAGAAGACTAATCAACTAGAAACATGGATGCGTTGACTACCAATCGCCCTTGGCCTGCTTCTAATTTCCCCCCTCTGGTCTGACTTGGTTAAAACTCATGTTTTAGAACTTCCGCTTGCTTATCTTTTAGATCAGTACAGTCGACGAATGAAGTAAAAGAGTAAAAAAGTAAAATCGTTTACTGGAGAAAGAAAAAAATGTTCTTTCAAGTCCCTTCCCTGGTACTATTATTATCTACATATCAATGCCAGTTGAGCGTTGTATTATTCTTACATTCCAAAGAGCTTTTTTTAACTTAGATACAGCTATCCAATCGTTTTAAATAAATAAATTCCCAAATGACTTTCGTAAGATGCATTCAACTGACACAGCATTGAAAAGTGCACTCCAGCACATCTAGGATGCTCTTAATAACAACCATGTTATAGGTCTCTTCTTCGACAAATATTGATTCATTTGCTGACGACATCGAAAACACAGTACCTCCAAAAACTAAGGACACATTCAAAAAAGAACTGAAACACGCTGACTATCTCTCACATTGGAGTGAGTCTATGGAATACGTTTAAACGGCACAAAGAGTGTGGTTATGGAAGAAAAACTCCAATAGACATTCTAAAGTGTTGCTGAGAGTCGAGGGACAATCTATAGAAAATGTTTTTAACAGCTAAAATACTTTTCTAATGGTTGAATTGCTTATATACACTTACTTGTTGGGGTTTCTCTCCATTGTTTTTGCGTATTTTATATACTAATAATGTGAATTTTTACACTTTACTCTATATGTATATTGTATTGTATGTATCTGTATGAATATTTCAAAATAAAAAAATCTCTCTATCTATCTACACAGCTTTTTATGCTGCTTTTCCAGTTAATAAAAATACTTTGAAACTTGAAAATACTGAATACATCTAACCACTGAAAACGTTAACATTGCTGACGTTTTCCGAAACTGTTCGACGATAATCGTATCAGCGTGACGTTATCTGCGTCCATATCATAATCGAAATTCGCCAGGCCAAGGTTCACTTGTTTTGGTTTGATCGACTCCGGAACCTGTTGCGATATGTAGGTTTTATTATTTGATTTACTGATGCTGCAAAGCTCTAGGGGTTAATTTTGCATACCAAACATTTAAAAATATTCATAACCCAAAAAGTAGTATATTGTGTATTGATGACGTTTGCATGTAATTAGTTTAACAAGTCCAAATATGGATGAAAACTGATCCAACGGATTTAATACAGACATGCCATAACAGGTTCCAGATTCATTTTTGGTAAGATTCATTCTTAGGCAAGAAACTTTTGCGCCATCGCTTTAATCAATTCAAATTACTGAAGAAAGTGGATCACCAGTATTACTATTTTTCTCTTAGTGCTGCAAAACTCTTCCTTTTAACAAAAACCAAAAGAAAAAA